ACCAAACTTGTCCATGTCACACCCTCTCTGTCTCATTTCCTCCTCGAGATCCTCTCTTTCCTTCTTGTACAACTCACACTCCCCAACTATGTGGGGTCTACTCTCCTCCGATTTGCCACATGGACATGTGTGTCTATCCTCCTCTTCCTCTCTCCTACGGCTGGTATACCTCTTCCTCCGTTCTGGCAAGTCCAGATCGCCTACTCGAAATTGCAATTTCAGCTTTTTCGCATTGTCCATGGGGCCGTCCAAGTACGTCTTCATCCCTATCCCTTCTTTCAACTTCCCGTATATCTCCAAGTGGTCTTCGCTTCGTACCTTCTTCCGAAGGGTTGCCTCCTCCCTACTCTCTAGCATCTCCTTGACTTTCGTCTTGAACCCCCCGAACCCTTCCGTGTCCAACGTCGTCTCCTCGTCTCCTATTTCTTTCCAAACCTTCTCTACCACCTTGTCCCATCTGATTCCCTTCTTTCCTGGAGTCGCTTTTCCCCAAGCTGCGTTGTCAACCATGGCTGGTAGTCTATCGTCCGACATTCTACTTACCTTGTACTGCCAATTCAACTTCTGCATGTCTCTCTTTGTTTTAAGAGAGTACATTCCCAATTCTGCTCTCAATACAGTGTAGAGGGGGGGGGGGGCAACGTGGTGGTGACGCATAAACTGTACGGTAAATGACTGGTTCGTGACTCCGACTACAGCTGTATATATTCGTGTATCGACGGACAACTCCTGTAACTGAGTATCCTGGTGTTGCCGCCACAACCCGACCTCTCCTCTCTTCATGTAAAAATCAAGCACAACATGCATACCATGGTGCCAAGTAGGAACCGGTGTGTTGGTTTTCCAACTCACCAGTAGGCGTTTGTTCGTAGATCTCCCTCGTGCCTGTTGATGAGGACGCGCTTGGCCGACTCAATGTTGTCGGCGGTGATGGGCACAGGTCCGCTCATGTCCCGGAGGGTGTCCTGCACAAACCATGCAACCACAACCACGATGCAAGCGCGAAAAGGAACAGCAGCACGCACAAGTTTCGTGTTAATTGCAACAGCGAAAAAGAACCGCAACAAGCGGTACAACATTCGCGATATTGAAAACACACAAGAGAACCAGCAACAAGTACCGCGTGTAGTCCTATGATAAAATAAAATAGACCAGCAGGTAGCGCGACGTCCGTACCATGGAAAACACGAAAGAATACCAGCAACAAACCACGTTCATAATATTGAAGCCGCACACTGAAAGTAGCAAGTACGAGAGTAACCTGCGACCACAAACGAACAGCAACAAACACGCACCTACTATTGAGAGAGATTTCGATCGACAAACCCATGAGCCAAAAACCAAGGGAGTTTTCGTCGTACCTGGCAGGCCTTAATGGCCTCGTCCACCTTGTCAGGGTTGGCGGTTACGGTGATGAGGTACCAGCTGCCCAGCAGTCGGTCGAAGCTGAAACACGAAAACAACAACAAGTGAGATATTGTGGGATGGCACATGAGAGCAAAGAGTTACCAAAAAGGAACAAGAAAACGGCAGCAACAAAAAAGGGAACAGCGAACGAGCACCAAACCGAACAAAACAAAACGCATCTGTTGTGATCCAAAAGGGACATCCCCATGCATCTTGCAGACAACAACAGGGCGGGGCGGTCTGGTCCTGTACGAAGCAGTCTGTCTCACTTGGTAAGGTGGATGCTCGCGTCGTAGGTAAGGCGCTTCTGCTCCCGCACCACCGAGAACAAACGCCTGTTGAGGGCC